CAGACCCACTTTTTTAGTTAGCTTTTGAAAATTCCACTTGTTTCTATTCTACACATTTTAGTATATTTATTTATTTTAGCATATTTTTTTAGGATTTCCAGTGTTTCCTCTGTAGGAGCCTCTGCATCGGGAGCGGAGGTCAGAGTCTCTGGACGTCTCTCTGCTCCTGGTGTAACGCTCCTCTGATGGTGCTTAATGTTCAACTGTATTCAGCCTCACATTTCCTGTAAGAATCAAAAAGTATCAAGAGTCCAACCCTCCACCATGGCTTTTGACCCTATCTCGCATTTTTAGTATTACATCTTGACACATATTAGACCTTTTTTCTGTGTCAAGGGTAAATGACCTGGAAAATGGTCGATATTTAGGCCCCTTATCTCACAATATATATGATTGTCTTTAGTTCAAACAGCCTGCCCAGTTAAAGGTGCACTGTGTGACTTTCCTGGAGGGGGATCTTGCTCCTGTTTCCATGGAGATATTATTGCTTTGGCTGGAATATCTTTGAGCAAAATTTGTCATACTGTATAATCATTTTGCAGTGTTTCAATCAGTTCAATTCAGTGTCTTTATTGTTTGAGAGTCAGGAAATACACAGTTGCATACTAGTTGTTTTTCGGCTTTACAGAAAAACTTCTCTGGTTTATGAAAACTGAGAAAACCGCTTATAAACTCATCATGGTGAATAATTAGGATGCTCTAAATGCATTAGGAAAGAGGAATAACTTTAAACCATTGCAAACCATTTAAAATCAGTGTTCCCACGATCATGGAAATCCTGGAAAAGTCATGGAAACTTGTAAATTCAATGAAAGTTTTGGAAAAGTCATGGAATTTAAGTATTTCTTTCTTTCCAGTGTTCTGTTAAAGGTTGTATAGAGGATTTTTTAAGGGAAGTGAAATACAGCGACAGTCCTTTTACAAATGTTGTGCATGTGTGACACCACCTTCCTCAGTAGAAACATCTCCTCCTCCCGCCTCTTTACTCTAGAAATCACATTTGTTTACATCCAGTGCATGTTCAGAATTACCGTTGAAGTGACCTGCCTAGAAATATTTTAGCGACCGACGCGTCAGTTTTTAGACCCTTCGGACTTTCTTTTGCGGCGAACTGGTCTTGGATTCTCGTCCGCCATCGCAACAAACTTTGTGCGAATTGCGAGGAAGCGACAGTTTGAAAAAGCCTCTAAGAACTGCTGCATAAACCACACAATCCCCGAGCGCCGACGAGTCAGTTACACTAAAAATGTACTAAGTTTGACTGACAACCTAACAGCCAATAGAAAAAGAGGGAGCCTCATTTTCTATTGGCTGATGTTTATCTGGCCTCACTACGTCCACAACGGATAGATTTTCATTCTTTCTTTTTTTTTCAGTCATCATAATTAAAAGGCTGCTGCATCTCTGTAATGGTATTTTAAACTTTCAATGACAATTTTAAACAAAAAAAAAAATCCTCCATACAACCTTTAAGTTCTTATTAGGCTTTTATGATTATTTCAGAACGTCTGCGCCTTTTTTTTTTTTAAAAGAGACGACAATAAATGCACTGACAGAATTTTGAATGTTAAAAAACTATAATCCCAAACCATAAGGTGAGTGGAAAGGGTTAACATTTCATATTTAGCCCTAAAAGTCTGATCAATTCTACACATGTAGGTGCCGTAAAGTCATGGAAAATTCACTTTAGGTCATGAAAAAGTCATGGAAAACTTTAGAAATGTTGTCAGTGAAAAAGAGTGGGAACCCTGTAAAATGAACTCGTTTTCACATTTTTAGACAGTAAGAATCAGGTAAAGCATTTCAAAACAATAACCTGATAATAAATAGTAATAATAACCTGTGATCTGATGTTTTTGCTGAACAATTTGCATGTAAATATCCAGTAAGAAAATAAAAAACCTCAAATGATATAACTGAGCATGCATTTATACAACTGAAACGCTTGAAAAACCTTTATTTTTACTGTAAACGTAGTTGACTGAGATATGTAAAATGTAATGTCATACTGTGGAACTGTAAGCAAAGAAATCAGGTGACACGGTCCATCTTTAAAAACTCCACAGTTGCCCGTTTGCAATCTGTAACTGGTTAAAAGTGTTATTATTAACCTAATTTTCAACAGTTCAAAGTGATAAACGCACGTCTTTTAACTTGGAGCCAAAAAACGTGAGCACATTGCCCCGATTTTAGCGTTGTTGCACTTCCTTCCAGTTTGTTTTCGAGTTGATTTTGAGATTTTATTGTTTGTTTTTAAAGCTCTGAATGGACTGGCCCCATGTTACGTCTCGGACCTCATCCAAATTTACTCCCTCGCACGCGTTCTGAGGTCTGAGGTCCAGCTCCAGCTCGTGGTGCCTAAAACAAGACTTAAAACCAGGAGGGCAAGACCTTCTCTGTGGTCGGACCCAAACTCTGGAACACTCTGTCCCCCCCAAATCCAAACAGCCCCCGCAGAGTCTCGTCTTAAAACCCACTTTAATTCTCTGGCTTTTAACACCTCATCAGTTGTGTGGTCCTCTGCGTCTTTTATTTATTTACTTATTTACTGCTATTTTATGATTTTTATGGCTTTGCTTTTAGTTGATTTTACTGATTTTATTGTTTTAGGACTGGTATGATGATGAAATTTTTAGCAATTTTCTGATCTCTGTGCAGCACTTTGGAAACTGCTTTGTTTATAAAATGATTTGGATTTGGATAAACCAGTCCCTTTAATTTACCAAAACGAGTCAAAATGAATTTCACTGCGGTCTATTTTTACACTGTCCTTTTCTTGTTTAATTACTCTACCCAGTATCTCATGCTACAACATCTCTGTGACCGAATCATGAAACAGTACGATCCAGTCTCGCTCTTTTACAAAAACACATCTGAGGCTAAAACGCTGCTCTCGATGTCATTAACATTGACATTTTGTAAACTATTTCTCTGCTCCACAGCTTTGTTTTCGTTTTTGTTTATTTCGTTTCTTACGGTAGGTGTTACACAAGTGCTACTACAACCATTACAGACGTCGCTATTTACTGTGAGCGGATTTGTTATGACGTTATTGGCTATTGGCACACTTACAGAGCATTAGCGGCGTGAGTTAACGGTCTGCACAGGTCAGTAAAGGTCAAGAGCTATGCAGGATCTGTCCTCGGGGTTTAAAAGACAAGGCGCTACCGAGCCAAAAAGAGGTTAATTAGAGGCTTTAATGTGAAAAACAATGATTGTGTTGTTGTTGTTGTTGTTAAAAGACGCTAAAATAACTTTCCAGGAAAAATAGGCCCATTCACGCCTCCTTTGCTTTAGCGGCGGAGGTCAGTGCAGACAATAACATTAAGGTGTTTATATAGCTGCCATTAAGAATATACAGCATTTTAAAGCGACCATCTGCAAGTTTATTTGATTTTCTTTTCACCAGTAGATGTCAGATGTGCTCACCTGTGTCTCTCGTCTTCTTCTGTCAGGCCAAAGCTGATACTCTCTCCGACTGCAGTAACGTAGACAGCATCTAGTGTTGATATGTGAGAATACTACAAGGACAGGTTGGCCAGTCATTTTTCCATTAATACTTTTCAGATTCTAAACTGTGATTGTGTCTTACTCTCTGATGGAGGCTAAAAGATTTTCCTTTTCATTACAATGTACTTTGCCGTGAAAATATCCAAAAGGTAAATTCTTATATGTTGAACTTATGGGTTTACACAAAAATCACGGTTCGGTTCCTCGGTTTTGAGGTCATGGTTTGGTTCATTTTCAGTATGGGAACAAAATGCAAAACCATTTGATGTTGTTTATTTGTGTGTTTATTATACTGGTATATGTTTTAACATTATACAAACGAGAAAATAAAATAAATGCAAAGTGCTGCTTGGTAATACTAATAAGTTAAATAAAATATTCACATACACACACACCCTTCATATTTTTGCCCAGAAAAAACAACTTGTCCACATTGACTGCAGTAAGTGCAGATCTGCTGCAGTTACAATGTCCCCAGTGACTGAAAATACCCTTTCTCTAGAAACAGAGGTGGAGGGTATGGGGGGAATCACGTGGTTTGGAGGGACATAGTCAAGGCGGGGGGCAATTGTTGTCAAGGTGTCCGCCCTAACTATAAAGCACTGCGGGAAACACTGCCACCTCAAACGCGGACTAGTTCCTTCGTGAATATTAAAGAGCCGAGCCTTCTGTGTAGCTGCACATGTAGGGGCCGAATGTAAACACACACAAACACAATTGTGCAAATTCACTCAAGCACAGCCCTGTACCGAACTGAACGTCCCGTACCGTACTGTTATACCCCTAGTAGAACCTGATGAGTTCTATTAGGAACTAGACCCAAGAACTCACTGTATTACAACAACAGAAATACTTAATTTCGATTCCCCCATCTGCATTGATACTTTGCATCTGATGTGATCAACATTCCCTCGTGGTGTGATTCTAAGTATAGGCGCTGCTCTGCCTGAAGCTCTGTTACTAAATCAGACTAATCTGAGCTTTATTTTAACACAATCTGACCATAGAGACCATAGAGGCAAGTTGATTAGTGCTGTTAAACAAGTCCCTCTCAATAATATTACAGTCACAATCCAACATTAGAAATAGTGTTTCAGTGAGACATTCTCACCTTTTTGTTGAAAATGATGAAAAATGAAAAACACATAAACAGAACCAGGAAAACTCGTATTGATCGCAGGCTCCTGAGAATGTGTTGCTTAAATCCATTTGGTATTTTTGTATTTTTGAGTTCTCACACTGTGTCTGAGAACTGTGTTTTCTAATGTCTGCATTGCGTCATGATGCTGGACGTATTCTAGCCATAGGCATACATGTAGAGCAGCCCCAGCATGATGTCAATTAAATAAGATTGGCCTATGGATATGTGCGATGTTGTCTGAATTCCAGCATTCGTTATCTACAGGCCACCAGGGCAAGTGTGAACCCAGCCTATAGATAATCATTATTTTGTCTCTAATCTTCATCCATCTTTTCTCTCTTGTCTTCAGTTCAGGAAGTGCCTCATTCAGCTCTTCACCGGCAACATTTCGGACAACTTCGGACAAACCTCGGAGCGGCCGGGCATCACCGCGGAGAGCCAGACGGGAGAAATGTCCGCCATCGCTGCTCGCATCCCAGTGGGAACCAACTCCCAGAAATCTGACGACTCCCCGACTGAGTGCGGCTCATTCGCTCAGCTGCCCATCCCCGAAAACAAAGTGTGCCCCATGTAACGGCCAAGCTCTTCTGATCCGTCTGCTCCAGTGTGGTCCCCGTGTTCATGTTGTCGGTAACACTTTATAATAACTACACCTTAAATAGCCTTAATAAAACACAAACAAAGACTTAATTCATGAATAGTTTATTAATAATGATTCGTGTGTAGTTCTTACTTAAGGGGTTAGATGTGAGGATCAAAGTTGTAATTAAGTAGTTAATAAGTCTGAATCATTTTTAATAAACTGTTTTGTGAATTGAGGTTTTGTTTATGTGACTGAGGCATGAATAAGTGCAGTTAATAAAGTGTCACCGTCTTGTTTATTCTGACTGGAGCTCAGCGGGGGCATTGGGCTCTTAGTTTTGGATGTAAAAAGTATGTATACATTTTTCCCACAGACCTTTTGGAAAAACTCTTGAACACTTGATTGGGTATGATCAGCTATTGTGACTTTAAAGGGACAGTCCGGAATTTTGGACATAGGAGCTCATTTTCTAGTTAGCCAGAATGTTGGAGACTTGTATTTGCAGAGGTCGCTGGTGCTAGGCTAGTGCATGTCAATGGCCATAGTTATCCTGCCACTAAAAACAGTCTTACCCACTCCACAAAACACCCGAAGCAAAACTATTATTACACCAGACTGTCGATGTAAATGTCTGTGTTGATAGAATCATTTTAGAAGTAAAACCAATCTTGTGTTTGAAGGATTTATGTCTGAGCAGCAGCAGCGAGTTGTACTTCCTGACAGAATAGGGCGACCAAACGTCCGTTTTCCCCAGACATGTACATTTTTCACGTCCTGTAGTGGCCGTCCGGGTTTTCTTTTTTTTTTTATAAATTGATGGAAATGTCCAGGTTTTCATTACCTTTCATTGGGCATGGATCACAAATAAATAAATGCTGGTTGCTGGAGATGCTGGACCGCAGCAGTACATTGCTTAACTAACTCTGAGTAGTTTATATTGTTATTGAGAGTTGAGAGTTATTGTTAAAGGGTTATTGTTAATATAGGCGAGGTATTTTTTCATTATTTATCATTTATTTATTTTTCTAATACAGACCAGACATTATTTCTTCCATTCAGTAAGTAACTTTGAGTATCATTTATTTCATGACCACCGCCCCCGCCCTTGCTAAGGTGTCCTGGTTTTGACAAACGGAAATATGGTCACCCTATGATAGAAAGCTCGGCAGCGGCGAACTGATATCACCTAGCACGTATCTTACAGGCAAAGTAAAATGCTGCTGAGAAAATAGTCCCTCAACATGCGGCGATTCATGCGATGCGAGGTTAGTTTTATTTCAAACATTGTCCATATAAATGTCTGTGTTGATACAATTATCAACACAGACATTTATATGGACAGTCTGGTGTAATAATAGATTTGCTTAGGGTGTTTTGTGGAGTGGGTAAGACTGTTTTTAGTGGCAGGATAACTATGGCCATTGACATGCACTAGTCTAGCACCAGCGACCTCTGCAAATACAAGGACTGGATGGAATATTTACACACGTCTCCAACACTCTGGCTCACTAGGAAATGAGGTCCTATGTCCAAAATTCCGAACTGTCCCTTTAAAATCACACTTTGTATCTTATCTGATTTGTTGTACGCCACTGTGGGAATGTTATTGCTTTGCCTGAAATGTTCCACATTATGGCACTGAACTGATCTATTTTGCATTTATTCAATACTTACTGCCCGTGGAGTCACTTCTCCATAGATCTGACCAGTAACTTGGTGGTGCTGCCAAAACTATGAAGCATTCCAGGCAAAGAGATAACATCTAACTGGAGACAGACGCTCTACCAGACAAGTTCCACAGTGCACCTTGAATCAAAATCTGAAACAAAAAATTCCTCAAAGTCCTGATTATACTTCTGACTTATTTTGAAAAGTCTATGGGAAAAATAATGGTAGTTTTAGATAAAATAAAGCAGAAAATAGCCATCCATTTTCATTGTCTGTGGAAGGAGCTTCATGGACATGTCTGTTTGGAGATGGTTCGCGTTCAAGGGCATGACAGACGACACACATTTGAACAATGGTCTCTAAACACATTCAAAACTTTAGTGCAAGCGCATGCATCTGCACCTTGATATAAACCGAAGGAGAAAGGAGGATCTGAACTTTGCCCTTTGGTTACAAGTGTAAATATCACCAGAGCGGGGCGTTTGTTTTGTGCACCTGCCGCTCGACAGGACCGCACCTGCCCGCCCTGTGCGTTCATGTGGAAACCGTAAAGAGACAGGACTCCCATAGCCTTGCCATGCGTTACACTTGGACTAGTCGTGAGTTTTTTTTCTTCAAATCTACAATGTGTCTAAGCTTTCACCCGTTCTCCTTTGAAAGTCCATGGATCTAGAAGAAGGCCGGTGTTTTTCTATGCTGTTTTACTCATTGGTCCAGCGGAGACGAGATCTCAGTATGGGAAATATTGACTTTCTGAGCCCTGTGCGATGCTTTGATTTGGGGCACGGACCGTCACAGGGACTCGGAGATGTGAAGATCCCGGTTCCTCCGCTGGGAAAGAGAAGGACAATATATTTATAAGGAGTCAGCAGGGGTCCATAACACAAACACACAAAACATACTTTCATATACTGTCTGGTGGAGCAGTGCTGTACTCAAGACCACAGAACGACCATTGTAACCTCTATATTACACTTCACTGTATTTCTATGACCTGCCATAGTTTAAGATGCAAAAAAAAAACACATTTCTGCTTCAAACTGAGGTTTAAATGTCACGGTTTACAATTGAGATTTGATGCAAATGGCTTGAAAATGCTTTAAAATTATTATAAAATCTCAGGGCAAATTAAGAAAAAAAAATTAAGATTAGAAGTTGTATTGCAAAACTTTTCTAGTGGCTGTTTAATGTAGAAAAAGCCTTAACCATATCCTTTTTAGAATATTTTTTATATTCTTTTTTATTCTGTTTTCTATAGTCCAAAGGCTTTATTGCAGGGCTATTCAACTTCGTTTTCAAATAGCCATGGTTGCAAAACGTACCATCACTTTTAACACAATGTGGAGTAGATCTGTTTTGATAATATTACGACTGCTATATTTGATAAGCTTTACCAACATCGCTCTGCCAAGTTGCCAAACCAATACTGGGTCAACAACCAGGTCTAAACCAGGACTAAACCCAGTATTAAGCCAAAGTCTAAACCAGGACAACACTAATAAACAAGAGAAAGAAATAATTTTGGATTTTTGGGAGATGGACCGGATCAGATCGCGGGCCGCATGCTGCTTTATTGGACAGGACTAGAAATATGTCAATATATGACTTGGCCGATATATTGGGCCAATAGTTACACTTTTTCGAACAGTTTTCTTCTGGGGAACCATATTTTAAAAGACACAAACCTTCACGATCCAAGTCAATATTCGTAAATCACAAAATAAAGATGGATTTGACCATTATTGAACATTACTGAGGATATTTTATTGTTGACTGAGTGACTGTGTTTCTCTGAACAATTAGTGTTAGTTTTAAACAATGAAAAACAGTAATTGAACCAACAATAAAAGGATCCATAAGTCGGTTATTTGGACATGTAGCATTAAATGTAGCCCATTTTTCTTTTCAACATTTAATTGAACCAGCAATATTGGAACAACACAATAAAATAGTTACAAAAAGATTAGAAATTATACAAAGCATCTTTTAACATTTCAGCCTACATGTAGATCATGACTACATGTCTGGCGTCACCTTGTGCTTCCGCTCAATTTAATTTCTCTCCAGTGACTAGGTCAGGAATCAAATTACAATAGACGGTTTGCAAAAACCCCGGGAGTGCAAGTTCGGGCACCAGCCAATCAGCGAAGAGTCATACATTTTGTGTTGACAACGTTTCCCGAGATCAAGGATTTAAAGCTGGAAAAAAGAGAATGTTTGGTGAATTTTATCAAGGGGAAAGACGTTATTGCCCTTCTTCCTACGGGGTTTGGGAAAAGCTCAGTGTACCAGTTAGCCCCGTTAGCGGTGCTTTACATATGACACAACCAAATAGCAGCGATTGATTAAATTAAAAAAGTACCCGCGAACTGTCATTCATTCATTCGCTGTGAGGTCAGACGGTTTCTACGAAGTGAAACCGGTTGATGAATCAGGCTAGATCGTGACAAGGTGACCCAAAAAAATCTCTTGCGACTCACCTGAGGGTTAAAATCCAGTCTTTGAGAAGCAGTATTTTAGAGCATTGGTTATCGACCATAAATCTCCTGCAGAGGAAGCCCAACCAGCTGCTTTAATATGGTTGAAAATATACGCATAAAGCTTTATTTGAACACTTTAGTCCAACGAGGGTACTGCAAAAATGTGACGATACTGGACACTGAGTTTGTACTGAAGTTTAATTTGATAATTTGGAAGAAATACCTAAACTGGCTCTACATATCGGCCAAAAAATATCAGCAAAGGTCATAGATCATGGGTCTCTCTGGATTATAAACAATGGGCCATGAAAAAATGCGTATCGGTTGATCTCGAGACATGCAGTTTGTCGTATTTGGGAAGCAAATCTACCACTGCCAAAAAAAGCAGCATGCACCAAATTTGAAAATGCGCCTTGAATGTAATCTAATGTATTATAAAAATGCTACTAATGACTATTTCTAATGCAAAACTAATGGAACAAGCCGTATCTTTTTAAAGGTTTTTACAATATTCTACTTTCCAGATGGTGGTCTTGAGTACAACACTGCGCACCTCGCTCTGTGTCGCTCTCCTTTAGGCACTGTGAAGTCAACGCACCAACAGCTCCTTTAACCCAGCACAAGTGGCTTAGCCCAGTAGCCATGTACAAAAGCAATGAGTCTCCGTTACCGTAAGCACAGGTCGACAGCAATATTGAAGCTAAATCTGACTAGCCGTTAGCCTGTACATGTGTTGTGCGTGGTGCATGTGTGTCGTGGGGTGTCGGTCTAACACAGTGGTGGCATCGTTACAGTGGCAGTGCTGTCTCTGTGCTGTACAGTTTAAGTCATGTTCAGGTCAGC